GATGGGTTTGGAAAAGGCGCCTGAGGGCAGTTTCAAAAACAAGCTACATGGGTATTACTTGAAAATCCAATATGCTTGGTGTAAGTTGTTGGATTGGTTGGCGTTAGTTTATGCTGATTTTATTTTTTATATTCTGGTTTAATGTATGTAGGTTCGGATTGCGGCTTTTAGCTAGAGTTAAGCCAACTGAGATTTTATTGAAATCTATAACCAAGGAGGTTACTAATGTTCAGATCACATACCCCTCCAGGTGTTTTTTTTTTATGTTCCCCTTTTGAATTGCTACGTGTTCTGTTTTGCATCTCAAATATAGTTATTTCATAACCTTGCTAATGTTTGGCATATTCAAATGTTCTATAGGATCTACACGTACCTTTTTTTTTCATTCTATTCAGACAATATCCTATTTTTTGCCTAGCTTTGACAACCAGTTTTGTGGTGAAGGAACAGCAATATGCTGAAGTATTAAAGGGGATTTTGTAAAATATTGTTCAAATTGGAATAGCTACCATGTTGTTGGTATAACAGCTCATAGACAGCAAATCTTTTGTCAAACAATGCGGATAGCATTTTTATAAACAACCATTTGCCCGTAGTCTAGTTGGTGGTGTTTTGTAATTTTATTTATATTTTTTAGATGTTATCTAACATTTTTCTCTAAATTAATCTTTCTCAATATTTAAGAATGAACAATAGTAGGCATCCTTCTGTGATTTGTTCCTATGTTGAGATATGGATGCATATTTTGTGTCTTCCATGGAAAAATTAACATGACAGATACCTGAGAATACCAGATTTCAGTCCACTATTGTCTGGAATTTGGGAGAATTGCGGGGAATTTAGATTGATGTGCTAAAACTTGTTAAATTATGTTGGTTTTGTGCATTTTGACATGATTCTAGATTGCTGGTCTGTTCCTGATACTTTTAACATTTTGTAGTTTAAATGCACGGCTTGTGCGGCGAAGATTACGGCAGATAGCCTTGAGGTAATTGTTCTACCCCTTTTTTATTTGCTTCTCTGGCATTCTAGAGGTTAGAAGGTAATTCCCATGCACAAACTTTTTATTTTACCATGAAAGTGTAGTGGACAATGCTTGATTGTTTTCTAGGTTTCTCTATTTTCAAAATGAACATGATCTTGTTTTGAGTTAAATATTGGCAAAGGTCCTTTAACTTGGTATTTCTGAGGCATCACTGCTGTGTTATTTTGAGATTGCCTGTCTGCCTGATGTCTAAGGGCATACAGATTAGAGAATCTGTGTACAGTTTTATGCCTCAGTGGACAATTATTGATATCTTGACCTTCACCTGCAACAATCCAATGAAAGAAAGGCCTTGGAGCTTTGTTGTTGTGTTTAATTGCCTTTACACATCTGTATATTCTTTGAGTTCCTGTAGTTAAGCAATATTAGTACTAAAAATAATGAGTGTTCTCTGATTTTCAGGGGTACTGTTATACACAGGAAATATTTGTATGGTTCAGTTTCATTGCTTCCACTGACTACTGCATTTGCTGTATGTATTTGTTTTTTTCTCGTTGTTCCATCATTTACTGTGTAATCTCTTTTGCCTGTTGAATAATTTTTTTTTTTAATTTTATGTTTGTCTCACAGTCTCACTTAATCTTATTTCTCACACAGGTTCTACCTCTGCCTAACATCCCATTCTTTTGGGTCTTGTTTCGCACTTATTCACATTGGCGGGCCCTCCAGGTGGAATTTAGTGTTCTTAGAGTTAGATACTTTGGGTTTGTTTAAAAGAGACAGTCATTGAGGGATTTCTTTACTTGGTTAATATTGGAAATGAATAGTTTATCATAACCTTATTGCAGAATTTGGTTCTTTGTAGTAAAATTTAATTCTATGTCAACTAGATGGGTCACATCAATGATCAACTTTAGCTGCTTGGCTGTGATAAAAGACGCATTTGCTGTGTAGACATTCAACTTGAGTCATATTTGCAACCAGAACCTGTTTTTTATATGATTAGTTATTCACAAGTTTACTTCTTTTATTATGTGGTTCCTTGTTTCTGCTATTCGGACCACATATGGAAATGTCTATAAAGTGCATTGCTTTTTCTTTTGCTTTCCACTTCTCATATGTGCATGCTCATGCATGGTGTTTCTTGCTTGAGGAGCTGCAGAAGGTCTAGTTCCATATCTAGCTGTATGAGAACAAGGAGTTTGATGGCTGTAGTCACTATTTTTGAACCCTTCACTTTATGTAATACATTTGTATACGGTATCAGCATCCATCACCATTGGCTGTCTATGTTGATGTTGCAGGGAAGTGTGAAGCTCCTTCAGCTAGTCTCAGATTACTCCCAACCTCAAAACTCAATTGTTTCAAATGGGAAGAGCAATGAATCTGGGCAGAATGATTCCAAGTATGGAACAAAGGAGCCGCAAGGTTTACAATGGGTAAGCTAATCTGGAACTAGTGGACCTAACTGAATTATATTTCTTATTTGTATATGATGTTAGTCATGAGTATTCCATGCTAACCTCTGCTTTGCTTTAACCTTAAATTCAGCATCATAGAATTTTGTTAGGTCACCATTGAATCTTGATCAGAGTGAAGAAGATTTTTAAATTGGTCATCAACCAATTCCTCTTTAGTTTCATTCCTGTTTCATGTTCCTGTGTTCTGTTCATGTGTTTTATTATTATTATTATTTCGGATTTCTCAACCATTTCTAGCAAAGCATCAAGAAAAATATAATTGAAGGCCATTTTATATCTTGCAAGACCTCATAATTGTCGAACATCTAATGTCACAGACCTATCAGTGGAAGTAGTGTTCCACTTGCTACCTTGTTTTTGCACTTGTGTTTGTTTTTTACTCAATTAGCTGCGAAGTATGTTTCATTGAGGATTTTCATTTTCTTATGATCAGTTTTTTAATAGTATTGATATTTAGGAGTCTAGTGAATATACATTTTGGTAATAACTTGGTATCATTTTCTCTATTGTTACTGAGATTTCTGAGTAGCAACCGTCACAACGTATCACAAGAATGCTGAGAATTCATTTGTTTTACTTAGGTTTTCCAAATCCCATATGACACCTAACAAACACTATCTTATGATCGTTTGTGCTTTAACTTGTAACTATTTTCAAATCTGAATGATGTACCTGAAGAACAATTTCGATGATGCATTGTCCTCTCCACTGCTAATATTTGTTTCATGTTATATATTCCATTCTCGATTTAATTAATAGATGTTGAAGCCATCGAAGGAATTGGAGCACATTGTTCGCCAGGGACTTGAAACTGGTAGCCTTAGTGAACATGCTATTTCAGATATATGCATGACCTTTAGCTTGAACAAGACAGATGTCTTAAAGTACAGAGATTTAGTGTAATTGGCATTTCTTTTTTGTATTTAATATGGAATATAACAATATGATTCGACTCAATCTTTTTGATTAAATATTGGAGCGCAATATAATTGTATTTTCGGTCATTTTATCCTTTTGTTTTTTGTTAATGGGATCGGAATAGGAAGAATATTAATGACATGCCTAATGATTGAATTTTACTTTGCAAAATGAAAAGTATCCAAACAAGTAGACCACCTACATTTTTTAACTAAATTTTAAATTTTTTGCTTCTTGAAAAAATAAACATATTCTAATTTTAAATTTAAAAAGAAGTAAAAATCAGAATTTCAAAATCACCATATGGCATTTTGTATAATCTTGTTATGTTAATTGAAAAGGATGGTAAAGTCTTGATTCAAATTTTCTTCCAATCAGATAGTTTAAAACAAGTAGTAATTCATTTGAAGTGAAGGGCTAATTCCTGTAGCTATTGAAGTAGGATTCCTCCAAATTTGATATGAATCATATTAATAAATATTTAAAGAGTTAACTATGAACTAGTACAATATAAATTTGGTTGGTTCTTTCAATAAAAACATTTTCATGATTTTGCAGTCTTCTCATAATAATAATGAATTAAAAGTAAACAAATATTTGACTACTATAACAGAATCCAAATACTGAATTCACATTATGATTAGCAATTCAAAAATTTAATATTTAAATTATAATACTTGAAACGATTATTTATATATATATATATATATATATATATATATACTTTGTGAAAAGAAAAACTTATATATGTCATACACAGTCAGCTTAAAAAACAATTTTAGTTATTTTTTTACTTGTGTCGAGCTCCTAAGAGTTTTCCCTCGCTTGTCTCGCAAGAAACAGCAAGAACCCATGGCTCCTGGAGCACTGATCAATGACATGAGCAACCTAGATCGTATGTTTGAAGATGACATTACTATCCCCAACAGCTATGTACGTTTCTTCACACTGCTTTCTGTTATATATATATATATATTGCAGCCCGTTTGTTATATCCCATAGCTCATAAAACCCTGTGAAACACGCTACAGAATGCCCTTTCTGAATTTGTGGTGGAGTAGAACTTGAAGTTTTTTAATCTTCTGTCATTTTCTTATTGATCGTGTTGGTCTATGCGTCTGCAGCTGTGATGCGTACGACGTGGCTTGTTTTATCCTCTTTAGGCACCGTTAATCGTTATCCAGGCCTGACATCTTAGATATTCTGCACTTTAACATGGTATACAATTAGGTTCCAATGTAATAAAGAATCGAATATTAGCCTATGTCATCAAGAGTTTACCAAAAGTTTAATTTTAATAAATTTTTGCTTGATACTATCCAATGTAATCCAAGTAATAAGTAAAAATATTATTGTAAGAATTTGTTCATACTATCTATTTCGTATATATTTAACGACATGTTAATTAATAGCTGAGCAAACAATGCTAGCCCAAAGAATAAGCAGGCCAACTTGCAGAGTTAGTGGGCCCTCCGCCCAGCCCATCAGAAAAAAATTGAAATACCGTAATAACAAAAATCTTCTTATTTACATTTTTTTTTCTCTTTCTACTGTCGTCAAACAAAGAGCTAGAAGAATTGTGAAGCTAATCCTGCTTAGTACAACCAGATCGAGAAATGGCACCTGAACCAGAAGATGAGATCAAGGACGAGAAGAACCCCCGACCGCTTGACGAAGATGATATCGCCCTTCTCAAAACCTATGTAAATCTCTTTCTCAACTTTCGCCTTTTTTTTTTCTTTTAACGAAGCTTCGATTTCTTAGTTTCTTATTTCACATTTCATTTCAATTTTGAATTTTTAATTTTGAGATATTTGATTCTTTAATTTAGTAAGCAATCGGTTCTGCGCATGCTCACTAGATTAGCAGCCAATTTTTAGGGTTTAGATAGAAAAAAAAATGTTCAAAAGGACTTGCTGAAGTTGTTGCTCAGTTTTAGCTGTCTACAACTTCCTTATAGACTTCTAGTAAATATTTGTTTTCATTTTCTTTTAATCTTGTAATAATTTGTCTTATTGTTATTATTATTTTGGGGCTAGGGATTGGGGCCTTATTCGACGAGCATAAAGAAAGTGGAAAAGGAAATTAAGGAAATGGCAAAGAAAGTGAATGATTTATGTGGTATGTTCCCCTTTTCTTGTGTTTGTGTTGCTATTTTACGAAGCCATTTTGTTGCTTTTTTTTTTTTTTTTTTCCATTTGCATGTATTCTTTAGATTTTGCAGGTGAAAGCCTATTTTGTCAACTTTTGATTTTCTAAGTTGTGGTGCTTAATAAAGATAGTATATACTCTTTCTTTTGCAGAATGTATGTTACTGCCCTTGCCATTATTTGATATTTTTTTTTTTTCTGAACGGCATGCTGAATGATGCAATAAGATATAAATATTTGCATTGTATGTATCTTAACCACAAAAGAAAAGGGGGGGGGGGGGGGGGGGGGGGGAAACGAATCAATGCTTATGGCATGTTAGTTTACACTATCATGTGAAAAATCTCCCTAAAGGGTTGTGTCAATCAAGCATAAACTAGCTGCATGGGGGAACATTCAAAAAAGATACCTGCTTCTCCTCAAATTCCACATTAAGGATATCTGGATTCTGGCCAATTTTGATTGTCAAAAGTTGCCCTAATTGCATGGATTTTTATTCTGAATACATTTCAGCAATCTCAGGTCTTCTCTTGATTGCCAGCTGCAATCATATGTTGATACATAGTTTTACGTGAGTATGTTTAGCAGCTGTGGCTATCATACAATGGTAGTGAGTTATCTTCAATAATTTTATTTTCTAGTTAGTCATCCAAATTTGAATGTACAATTTATTTACCACTATTCACTAAGTTGTTGCACGATAGGTCTATACTTAACATATTCCTGTTTTATATGCTGGTGTACATTGTACAATAGGCATCAAGGAGTCAGACACTGGGTTAGCTGCACCCAGTCAATGGGATCTTGTCTCTGATAAGCAAATGATGCAGGAAGAGCAACCACTTCAGGTATTGATTTTACTAAAGAGGGTTTTAGGAAATTTGTGCATTCATGTTACTTGTTTTTAGGCATCAAGTATTGACTGTATTGTTCATCCAGGTGGCAAGATGCACAAAGATAATTAATCCAAACACAGAAGATGCCAAATATGTTATCAATGTTAAGCAAATTGCCAAGGTATGTATTTTTAAATCCCTGTCTTCAATGTTTTTTTAATGGGATGATTTGACATATACTCTCTAGTTAAAATAGGTTCTTTGTCAGAAGAATGGACATTGAATTTTTTGTCTGATATGCATATGGGCTCTAACTGCAGTTTGTTGTTGGACTGGGTGACAAAGTTTCCCCTACTGATATAGAAGAAGGCATGCGTGTGGGGTAAGTTTTCAATTTGTTAAAAGAATTCACTCGTGAATTCGTGTTATTGCATATGTTCATTTCCACAGTTACTCTTACACTTTGCATAAAATTTTATATCCTGTGAATAGCTTTTTTCTTTGGCTGAAGTTGTATTGTTACCTTCATTTGTTGCCTTTGTAATTTTTTAGATAAATGTATATTTGCAATTCTCGGATAAAATTTGTGGAGTATTTGTTTGTTGCTACAATTCGGGAGCATATGGAGAACTCCAGAACCATGCAACCATGGTATGAAACCACCATTGAATTTTCCCTGTTTGATAACCTTTTTTACCTCGAAAAAGGATTCAACCTCAAAGACATCGTGGCACCAAGCACCATAACAAGGGGCAATAATTGTTCAGTTGATTGCCACCAAGTATAACTATTTGGTGTATTTTACAATATATTCACCTTATTTTGTAGGATGGATAAGTTTGGATATTCTTTTTACAAAAAATAGCAGTAGCATTTGAATCCATACTTTTATGATTTTTCACTTTTGTCTTTATTTTTCTTTATGGAAGCAAACCATGTTTTGACACCCTTGTATTTTCTTGTTTTATATTTTGTATAAACTTCTTACTAGTGGACTTTCAATCTGCCTTTGAAGGGTTGATCGCAACAAATATCAGATACAGATTCCCTTGCCTCCAAAAATTGACCCAAGTGTGACCATGATGACGGTGGAGGAGAAGCCAGATGTGACATATAATGATGTTGGTGGATGTAAAGAACAGATTGAGAAGATGCGGGAGGTACGTATTGAACTTTCTTATGTTAATATGTACTGGCACACACATAGAAAACCTGAAGCCTTTCTCCTGATATTTATAGTAAGTTTGGATTAGAGACTAACATAACATGCATCGATTGATTACTTTTGTCCTTTTAGGTTGTTGAGCTACCTATGCTTCATCCTGAGAAATTTGTCAAGCTAGGGATTGATCCTCCTAAGGGTGTTCTTTGCTATGGTCCTCCTGGAACTGGTAAGACACTTCTTGCAAGAGCTGTTGCAAATAGAACCGATGCTTGCTTTATTCGTGTCATTGGAAGTGAGCTCGTTCAGAAATATGTTGGTGAAGGAGCTAGAATGGTTCGAGAACTGTTTCAGGTTATAACCTGCTAAATTTTGTTGTTTAAGTTTTCTCTTGAAGTTATTCTGTACTATCTTTTTCATTTTGCCTTCACTGAACAAAGATATTATCCACCGCAGATGGCACGCTCAAAAAAAGCATGTATTGTGTTCTTTGATGAAGTTGATGCCATCGGTGGTGCACGTTTTGATGATGGTGTGGGTGGAGACAATGAGGTTCAACGTACAATGCTTGAAATCGTCAATCAGCTTGATGGCTTTGATGCTCGTGGAAACATCAAAGTCCTGATGGCAACAAACAGGTTGAAGTTGCTACCTATAATTACAACTCTCTTATCTGTCTTCATACTCTAATTCTGTTTTATGAAGCATTGTGTCATCTTTTACACCTTTAAGCCATCTCTACCAGGATATGATCTTCACTGTAGGTTTTATTTTGATTAATTGTACAAATAATTGAATGTGCACACGAGATGCTTATGACATTTTTGTTCCTTTATATTTGTGCAATTTTCAGGCCAGACACGCTAGATCCTGCATTATTACGTCCTGGACGATTGGATCGTAAAGTTGAGTTTGGTCTTCCCGATTTGGAGAGTCGGACACAGATATTTAAAATTCATACGAGGACAATGAATTGTGAGCGTGATATCAGATTTGAGCTTTTAGCCCGGCTTTGCCCCAACTCCACCGGTAGGATCTTCTTTCCGAAGTTTTTTTGTTTTTGGACGTGCTCTGATGGTCTTGTTTCTCAAGAGTGATTTTGAGATTTATGGTTTTTATTCACAGGAGCTGACATAAGAAGTGTTTGCACCGAGGCTGGAATGTATGCCATTCGAGCACGAAGAAAAACAGTGACAGAAAAAGATTTCCTTGATGCCGTGAACAAAGTAATTAAGGGATATCAAAAGTTTAGTGCAACGCCCAAATACATGGTTTACAACTAAGCCAGATTCTATTTCAACTCCCAACTCTTAAAAGACATGTTTTTCATTCAAATCAAACGATATTTGATCCTTTAATGGTCGATGTATTGAATTATATCTTCAGTTCTGGCCTGTTTTCTATGAATTTGTTTAAGTTGTTTTAATGGGAATTTAACATTTGCCTATACATTTTGATATTTTATGTTTTACTTTGAGGTTTTTTTTTTTTCGGTGTAATGATTCTTACTAAAAAGCTGCTATAGTCCTAGAAGAGTTAAAAGTATGACTCTAACTAGAAATTTTAGTATTAGAAAAACCTGAAGAAACAAATAAACCATTCCTAGCAATGTCAACTCTTTACCTAGTTTTATTAGTCAGAGTTGGTCAAACGCTAATTGCTGATAACTAGTACAGTAATATCTTTTATTTAAGTTATAATTTCGAGATTAGGACCTTTTGACGCTTGGTTAAAGAATGGTACCAATTAATCATATATTATCCTATTTTAACCTTAATTATGAATTCTAGATTTCGTTCCTATTTCTCTTAATCATTATTTATTTGTTTCATCTTCTTCTTTTTGTCTTTTCTTCCTATTTTTAGCTATTATTTGAATATTGAAGATGTTCTTAAGTGCTCCTGGCATTCTGGTGAGATTTAAGAAAATTCTCCTCACCTTGGGAGTATTTAAGGAGACATGTTTATCTTCTCGAAGAGGTTTCACCATCGAATTTATTAAGTATATGATAGATGTGATTTTTTATTTTTTTATATGTTTTATTTTTGTTATTATTTATTTATTGATGCATAAATAAACCCTTGTGTCATTCTAGTGAAATATTAGAGTTTTTCCTCACTTAAAGAATTTTTTGATAAATTTATCTTTATGAGTCTCTCGAGAAAGTCACATCATCGAGGATTATCATTCATATCCTGATTCAATATTTTGAATGCATATAATACGATAGTGAAATGAATGATGCGAATTCTGATTTTATTAAACAACAAATGAAAACTTTTAATTTTAAAAGATTTCTTAGGCACTTTCATTATTTTGATAGAATCCGAGAATGTTTTATTATTTCAAAAGTTGTTCAAAAAAGCTAATCTTTATAAGTTTTTCAAGAAAGTCCCATCCTCGAGGTTATAATTTGTTCATATAAACATTATGTCGAGTGATGTAAATTCTGATTTTACTAAATAACAAATGGAAACCTTTTTGAAAGCATTTTTCATACTCTCCCATCATTTTGATGGAATTTGAGAATGCCTTCTCACGTAGAAAGTTCCTCTTGAAAACTCATCTTTATGAGTTCCTTGAGAAAATCCCATCCATCGTGAGGGCTTTCAATCTATTTGCGAAAGATATGTTGTCAAATGATGCAAATTCTTCTTTTATTAAAGAACAAAATGAAAATTTTTTATTAAAAACATCTCCTTAATTCTCTCATCATTTTGGTGGAACTCAAAAATACTTTCTCACTTCAAGAATTCTTCAAAAAAACTTATTTTACAAGCTTCCTAAGAAAGTCTTATCATTAAGGTTGTGATTCGTTCATGAAATTATACATCCAAAATGAATGCAATGATTAATGAATGGATGTTCATGATGCATAATGAGCAAAATATTTATTAGTTATTATTACTTTTAAATAATAAGTTTATGCATTATCTTCATAATTTTATTATTTTATTTACTTTCAATAATCCTATAATTTTTTTAACTTTTTAAAAAAAATTAAATGTCAATTTTTGTATTTTTTACTTCAAAAATAATTCCTTCAATTCAAGAATATTTAAACAAAAAATTAAGGCTCTCCTATCATTCTAGTAGAGTTCTAATCAAATCCCTCACTTAGAAAAATTAATTCAGACTTGTGACTTTGTACATTATGAATAAAAATTCAGGCGTAGGCTTAATTCAAATAAATATTTTTGTTATTTTAAATTCATAATTTTATTGTTTACTATATTTTAATGCCATTTCATTATTATATACTATCTCGATTTAATAATTTTCTATATTTTTCTAAGATTTAATAAAATATTATTTTTTATCATGCATGTTTATCTGCATATATATATTTTTATGTACTAATCCATATCAATTTGTTCCTACACAAACCACACTAAAAATTACTAAATATACTAAAAAATATAAACATATAAACGGATCAAAGAAGAAGCCCATACCTTGTTTGCGTAGCTAAAGCCCAGAACCTTCTGGAGTTGGCTTGATAAAGCTTGAGCTGGACCTCCACACCCTGGGCTGCTTCAAGGGCCGAAGCCCATTTCCTTGTCCTTTTCAAAACGAATTGCTTTTTTGGGAGGATCTCAACTCTAAGTAGCCCAACAGAGCAAAATGAAAATAAAGTCACTCATTCTCTTCTTGTCGCACAAGAAAATCGAAACAAACTGCAAAGGACAGATCGATTGTTCAATCCAAAGATGGTGGCTCAACCAGAGGATGATCCGATGGCGGAGAAGAATCCAAAGCCTTTGGATGAAGACGATATCGCGTTATTGAAAACTTATGTACGTTCCAGGAGAAATTCTTTCTTTCTTTCTTTCTTTTTAAACAAAAGCATTCCCTCTTTTTCTCTGCTATTTATTTTACATTAAACGTTAATTTTGGATATATTTTTTATTCGGCTCTAGTTTCGTTGATTTTGCTCATGTTGTAGCTAGGATTTAACCGTGGAATATAGTTCCGTCAGTAAAGGCTGTAACTTTCTGGATTCTATACAATGTGTTGTTCCCTTGTACTCACAAAGATTAAAACTAATTTTGTGGTTTATATAAACATTAACTCATAAATGCGAGCTTTCCTGCTTTGTGAAACAACTATCTTTGAAAAACCCTAAAAAGTATATATATATATATATATATATATATATATTTTATGGCATGTCTAAACTTTCCCTTATTTTTGGCAGGGTTTAGGTCCATATTCTAATAGCATCAAGAAAGCGGAAAAAGAAATCAAAGAGATGGCCAAAAAGGTCAATGACCTTTGTGGTATGTTCAACTTCATTTTTTTTTTCTTTTTGATCCCCTATGTGTGCATGAACTTTCATCTTTGTGCTACACTTCAGACGTGAATTGTTTAAAACATCAACCTTGAGAGGATAAAAAGTTATGAATGTATTGAGGTGAAAAGTATTCTTGCTTTGATTTTATCTTTTGAAGATGATTTTGTGGTACATATTATAGTCCATGTTTATATGCGAATTTTCTCAAACAAAAACAAAGGAAAAGTAAATTTATATCTATATGCGACCAAACATGCCTGAAGGATAACTCAATATGAACAGGATGCATGGTTGCATTTGGTTTCCCTAAAGTTTGCGTGGTAATACCAAACGTTCTGGATTTGCTTTTAAGTTTAGTAGTCTGCTATTTTAGTTATGATGGACAAAAATGTTTGCTCCTGGAATTCTACGCCATCACAATGTGCTGGTAAATTGGATTGGAGGCAGTTTGCTTTGTTGGTTGCTGTTAACATCAACTGATAGCAGCAACATTACCACTTTGATTTGTAGTTTTATGGGGTTAATGTTAGATGATGCTTAGCAGCTGATTATCTCATACCAAACATTATTGAGTTTTTGTACATTTTTTTTAATATTCCCCTGAATTTGGTAATACTGGTTATTTGTTTCTTTATTTCTACTATTGGCTAACTTTTTGCTATAATAATTGGCATCTTTTTGTTTCTATTGCATGTTTCAATTGTTATTAACGTATACTACATCTTAAGTTCTGTCATGTCTAATGTCCAAAATAGGTATCAAAGAATCAGACACTGGGTTAGCTGCACCCAGTCAATGGGATCTTGTATCAGATAAGCAAATGATGCAAGAGGAGCAACCTCTCCAGGTACTAGTTCTTTCTTTCTTCTAAAAGGGAGTTCAGACAAAAATTTTGTATTTGCGATGCAAGCTTCTTGAGCACTGACTGTTTTCATAACCTAGGTTGCAAGATGCACAAAAATAATCAATCCAAACACAGAGGATGCTAAATATGTTATTAATGTAAAGCAAATTGCTAAGGTATGTAGTTGAGTTGTTAAATTGTTTTGCGTTCTTGTCTTGTTGGTGACCTAAATTCAGTCCTTTGTCACAAGAAATGGAATTTGAATTTCTTATATATAATGTGAATGTGTGTTATGAACTGCAGTTTGTTGTGGGGCTGGGTGACAAAGTTTCCCCCACTGACATAGAAGAAGGCATGCGTGTGGGGTAAGTTTCCTATTTATTAAAAGAATTCTCTGTTAATTCCTGTTACTTTCATGCTTCGGATCGAGTTTTATTCCCATTGAAATTATTATTTTTTTTTGTTTTCTTTTGAAGTCTTTTTAAATCCTTATAATAGGTGGACTATTTGTGTGTTGTTGGGATACTATTGGGAGTCCATGCTTGAATTACTTTTTATTTTTAGGTTTTCTTATCCTTTTGTCTTAATCACCCTGTTTGCTTTTGTGTATTTATCGTGTGCAATCATGTTCTGCATTGCAGAGTGGATCGCAACAAATATCAGATACAGATTCCCTTGCCTCCAAAAATTGATCCAAGTGTGACCATGATGACTGTGGAGGAGAAGCCTGATGTCACCTATAATGATGTTGGTGGATGCAAGGAGCAGATTGAAAAGATGCGAGAGGTATGTTGTTGGTTATATATGTTTATGTAGAATCTCAAGCCCTTTGCTGCTGTATTAGCAACATAAACTAACAAATTAGTTAGTAGTTATTTGTGTAACATTTGATTTTGTTTATTTAGGTTGTTGAGCTGCCCATGCTACATCCTGAGAAATTTGTTAAGCTTGGGATTGATCCACCTAAAGGTGTTCTCTGTTATGGTCCTCCTGGAACTGGTAAGACCCTTCTAGCGAGGGCTGTGGCAAATAGAACAGATGCTTGCTTCATCCGGGTTATTGGAAGTGAGCTTGTTCAGAAATATGTCGGTGAGGGAGCTAGGATGGTGCGAGAACTTTTCCAGGTTATTACCTGCTATGTTTCAATGATTTATGTTTTCTCCTGCAGTTATTCTTTTACTGTTTTTCTGGTCCTCTTCTATTATCTAACAAGATGTTACCTGTTGCAGATGGCACGTTCCAAAAAAGCATGTATTGTGTTCTTTGATGAAGTTGATGCTATTGGGGGTGCACGCTTTGATGATGGTGTTGGTGGAGATAATGAGGTGCAGCGAACAATGCTTGAGATTGTCAATCAGCTTGATGGGTTTGATGCCCGTGGAAATATCAAAGTTCTGATGGCAACTAACAGGTTACATATTCTGCTTTTACTCTCTTAGCTCGCTGTATATCCTTTTTTATTTGCAGTGAATTGCAGCATGTATAAAACCCTGTGAAACCACTGTAAAATGCCCTTCTGAATTTGTCGTGCAGTAGAACTTGAAGTTTTGAACTTTTATGTTTTTTTCAAATAGATTGTGTTGGTCTTTGCATCTGCATGAGTGATGCTTGAAATGTAGCTTGTTTTAAATCTTTTTTGGCACCATTATCCAGGCCGGACACCCTGGATCCTGCACTTCTACGTCCTGGACGATTGGACCGCAAGGTTGAGTTTGGTCTTCCTGATATGGAGAGCCGGACTCAAATCTTCAAAATCCATACAAGAACTATGAATTGTGAAAGGGACATTAGATTTGAACTTCTTGCCCGACTTTGTCCTAATTCTACAGGTAAGAGTTTCATCTCCTAGACTTTGTTCTATGTTCTTGAATCTGATGTGCTGTATTTATTTTCTTTTCTAGTCCTTTTCTGTTAAATAATTTGTTTCATTTAGGATTATTCTGGGACTTAATGGTTTCCTTTGCAGGTGCTGACATAAGGAGTGTCTGCACAGAGGCTGGAATGTTTGCAATACGAGCGAGAAGGAAGACGGTAACTGAGAAAGATTTTCTGGATGCTGTGAACAAAGTCATCAAGGGTTACCAGAAGTTTAGTGCAACTCCAAAATATATGGTATACAATTAAGTTGAAGGCCGCCGACAGGGGAACTGTGTTTCTGTTATTGACGACGTTATTCCCAAATTATGTTTAAACGGGAATGCCAGACTTGGAAATCAAGATTTAGTTGAATTAATACATTTATAAAAGGAAAAAAAAATGTTTGCAATATTTCATTGGGTTTTTTTATAAAATTGTTGTGCTCCTGCTTCATGCATAAAATTCCTTGAAAGAGTTGTTGATAAAATTACATTATAGAAATAGTTAGTTACATTAGCTAGCTTATTAAAAGAAGATGCTATTAGAGTCAAAACGTTCAATTGCTTTATCATCTTTATCTAATTTATGGAGCAGCGCCGAACGGTAAAAATGTCGCACCATAAATCTCCCCATGGTCCCACTCATTAGAAGAGATGGGCTTTTAGCGTAATTAGACATCACTGAGTATATTCAAATACCCCATCCACCATAGATTAATGGTTAAAATTGAAAATTAAGGGGCAAATTACTATAGCGACAAAGGAAGTCAGAACTGAGGGAATTATTATGTCTTATTATTGTAAAGAGAAATAAAAGAAACACCAAAGTTTTACATATACAGAACGGTGAAAGAATTTTAATTAAATGGGTGCCACCGGTTTGACCATATTGCAACATATTACAAAGCGCAGGGCTGACTTGAAACTGATGCTAAAGTTAGGGCGTATAGTAATAGTGTTACAATCAAACAAAACCTTTTAACATGAATACAATGTCACCAAAACAGTCATAGCAGGACCACTGCAGCCATTTAAGACATGTAGTCGTCATGTGTATCAGGGTTGTCGGTTCGCTGAGATGCTCCTTGGTCCGTCCCAATTGTTCTCTTACTCATGTTAGCTCGCTGCACTAGTCGAACCAATGCTTGAACCACTTCTGACATAGGTGGTCGAAACTCGGGCTCCGGCTGCCCCAAAGAAATAATGAAAAGAAATCAGTTTAGTACTACAGCAGTGTACTGTTCTACAAGTTCTTTCTCTTTCCATATGGTTTACAATCCGGGACTCTTAAGTACCAGTTTATATCTACAATATATCTTTCTCTTTCCATATGTTAGAAAATTTTGACAACATAAGCCATTAAGGTGGCCTCCTTAACACCATGCTTATGCCAATTCATTGAAGATTTAAGGTAGATGAAACAAGAAAAAGGTCATAAAGCGCCTTCCCTTTTTCAACCAAGATATTACCTGGACACAAAGAGCAATCACATCTGCAAAACGAGAGAGAGATTTAACTGGGTAAAGCCCTTTAAGTGCTGGGTCAACCATCTTAGATAGAGCATCAATGTCATGGAGCTGAGGTGTTGCCCATCGAACCAAAGATTGCTCGAGTCTTGGCCTAGTGCTGTTAAAAACACTCAAATACTTGTTAGAATTTTGGTGAACTAACAGGATGCCAACACACTGAATGATGGAATACCCAATTCTTTATAGATGATTCCTCACCTATCAAATGGCTTACGTCCAGTGAGAAGTTCCAACATAACCACTCCAAAACTGTAAACATCACTCTTAAGAGAGTACAGACCAGACATAGTAACCTCAGGTGCACTGTATCCAGACCCTACATCATCACGATTCAGTACCTGCACATGAGAAGGAGACAGTTTCAGTATATACATAAGCAACTAGTAAAACACTAAGGTACTTTGACCATGGTCAATAGGTCATTGAAGGGTTCTTTATATTTCATCAGTCGCTTTCAGCATCACATAAGTGCCACGGAAAACCTTGTTGCACTTCAGCAAACATTGTTTATCATATCCAGAGGCATAAATGATATTGGTCATAGGTCAAGCAACTCAGGCTTGAAAAACTTGAATTAGTGTCACAGAATGAAAAAACTTTTGCATGTGAGATATTGTGAGGAAGCACAGAAACTAGCCATTTGAACATTTTCTTACTGTTGCTACATTTGTGGTGAAAGAATGTTTAGATGAACTCTACAGATTATAAGATTAACTTGGAACAGGATATAAAGATGCAAAAGTCAAAGATGGTATTAGTCAGTCTCATCCTTTGACAAATGCCAATTAACATAGGCAAGTACTCACAAAAGAGACAAGACAACTCAAAATATAAATGATGTACAACATGGTTGTGCAGTGCTAGTGGGAAACTCAATAACTAACATCAAAGGAAGTTACTAGTTCACGCAACAACAGTAAGTTCTAGGATGCACAAAATTCACCTGATCTGCATCTGGAATAAAGGTTGCCAAGCCCGAGTCTGAAAGGTGAGGATTGAGCTCAGCATCAAGTAAGATGTTGGCTGACTTGATATTTTTATGAACAATAGATGGTGAGCAAACTTCATGCAGGTACCTGGAAAAAATTTTCTAATGAATTCCAAGTAGCCATTTGACAATAGATAATAACCACTGCAGGTATACAAGCCCAGCTCCTGGTTCACTTAGTCCACTACATTTCTACCTTATAGCACATATCCAATCTTAACAAAACTTTGAAGATCCTAATAGTCAAAAGATACACTACTTGCATCTTAAAAATAGTTCTTTTTTTTTTTTTTAATTGAGCATCTTAAAATAGTTAATTCTCAATTACAATCAATTGGCTATTACTAGCAAATTAGTAAATTGTTTCAAGTAAAAGATGCAAATGCCAAAACACCCCACATTCCAAAAGAAGACCAAAGCGGAGAGTCAAAGATATTGGGGGTAGGGTCCTCAGTGTTAGATGTTTACAAGGAAGAAAGGGGAAGGTTGTTGTTGTCCATTATTTAGTTATCAACTTACTCTAACGCACGTGCAGTCCCCAGAGCAATTTTAACACGAGAGTTCCAAATCAATGGTTTGCTGTACTCATCTGATACATGGAGAAAGTCATGCAGTGAGCCATTTTTGTGAAACTCATAGACAAGCAGGTGCTGTCCATGCTCTGAACAATAGCCAACCAGCTCTGTTACATTTGTGTGATGCAACTGGGAGATATTTGAAACTATCTCTATAAAATCATCAGATATTTCACTGGGAAGAGCTGATGAATCTATTTTCTTCACAGCAAGAACCTACGACAGTACAACACAAGTTTACCAGTTAGGTGAGTGCTGTGTGGATCACATTTAAAGCACTTCAGGCAAGTAACTGACAAAATTTGAACAAAAAACTAGGCAGATCAACAACATTGGCATCTGTAGCAGTAATTGCAAGACAGGGAGATTTCTTTTTGGAGATAATCATGTAACACACTTAAAGGTCACAGCTACGAAAAGTGAGGCAAATATAAATTAAATATATGCTAATGAAGAGAATATTTCTCAGGTTAGAGCATGAATTAAAACAGAAGTCACAATAAAAATTTAAGCACAGATCATGGTCCATCTATTTTGACATGACTAATGGATTTAATAGGCAGGAGAGTCTACCTTGCCATCATCAAATTGAGCTCGATAAACACGTCCAAAACAGCCTTCACCAAGAAGATTTTCAACACTGAAACTGCCTGTAGCCATCTGGAGGTCTGCTATTGAATATGATTTAACATTTGTAGGGGCTGGGACAGCTTTCTTAACAACAATGGGCTTTTTAGAAAAGTCTTCTTCATCAAATGATTTGTGGCGGTCGATGGGCGGGGGTCGAAGGTTTATTGAAGCAGGTGTATCAAAGGTCTTGGTGTCAATTGAAGAGGAAGACTGAATGGATTTCATTTCTGCAATACAATTTTAGGTAAGAGAAACAGATAGTTTGATCAAGAGAAGTAAAAAAGTATACAAAGCCAAAAGATTTTAGAGGAGAAAAGGAGTTAACATAGACTGTGAAGAAAGCAAAGTAATGCTGTACAATTTATGGAAAGTGCAGAATTATCTAATTCACCCAGCCACACCCCCACCCCCCGCCCCGAAAAAGAAAAGGAAAAGAGAAATGAAAAGAGAGAAAACCAAAGGCATCAGAGTCTCCTATTGGCTAAGATTTAGTTTCATTTATGATACCCTTAAGAGATGGAGCAAAAAGCTTAAATTCACAAGAGAATTTGCATATGAAGATTTGAAAAAATGCCCACAAAATCACAGAGCCAATAATGGATTTTTCACTGAAGCTTATATTCTAGTAATCTACTGAATTTTTTACTTTTATCAGTTCCTAAATGTTCTCCAGATATCTAATAGCTACAAGAACAAGTTTATAGATGTTTGCTGCTAAAAATAAAACACTCATAAATCTCTTCACTAAGAAATCCAATGCAGATGCGTGACAAGCAACATGAGGCAAACAATAAAGATATATTTATGGTGACACTCAACTGGCCAGTGTGCCAGAGTGCAGAATTGCAGATAGACTATGAGTGTTACCTTGCACTTCGTTAGAAGCAAGAGGAGCAAAGGGTTCATTATCAAGCTTTTCAATATCTGAGGACGACCTCTTGGATCTTCTTTTCACCAGAAAGAATGCTACTATAGCCCCAACAAGCAGGATGGATATCACTATTCCTGCTATGCCTCCACCTCCAATGCCTGATTTGCTACTGCCACCACCAGAACCACCATCCGAGGGGGAACTATTGCTACCAGATTTGTGATTTCTGTTGTTTCTAGTGGCAGGAGGGGTACCAGGTGGAGGTGGAGGAGCAGGTCCCAAGCTCCATGAGTTACCGTCCTTCCTGTCATGAAGATTACTCAGATTGAAACAGCAAAGAACTTTCTTTGATAACAAAATACAAATCACAAGACTTGTTAATGCAGTCAAATGCTTACTGCAAATCGATACTTTTCAACTGATCAGGTATCCAGCCGGTAAAACGGTTATTTGAAACATACCTGTGAGACATAAAAGCAACTATCACAAATGGCAGGATAACAGGGTCAATTACATTATAAGAAAACAATATGATGCTCTAGCCTTTTTAAACTGATATACTGGTTACCCACAGATTATCAAGGGGAAGATTGGCAAGGACATCAATAGTGCCTGTAAGCTGGTTGTTTTGCAAATACCTGCATAAGGGTAGATAGAACATATGAGGAAAATCCACCAAATATACTTGTTCCGCAAAAGATTTTTCCGCTAGCACTTACATAGAGTTCATACTAGAAAGATTTTTAAAACTCTCAGGGAGATCTCCGGTAAGAGCATTGAAAGAGAGATCCCTGCAGCAAGGTATAGAGGTAACTGTTAACTTATTCATTTAGTTAAATAAG